GAGCAGAGACAAATCGCTCGATGGAATAAGATGAAGTAGGAACGTAAGATGTGAATGCAACGAAGCAGAAGGCCAGAAAGAGCTTCTAGTGAATGCACTCCAAGAACCAAGTTTGAGCATCCCCGTCGCCAGCATTCGTGAAAGACGTCCGTGGGCAATTCGAACGCGTAGCAGCCTTTTCGAGTTTTCGAATTTCTAATCAAAACGAAAGCAATACTTCAGTTCTTTTCACTATTATCGTGGATAATGAGTCTCAAGCCAGTGATTTATGGCTGAAATAGAATCATGATTTTTCCGCGCAAGATTCCTTTAAGGAAGCACTTCCACTCTTTCCCAACCTGGATTTGTCAGTTGTGATCACTAGAGCCAAGGTCGGAGCCACTTAGCACAGTTTTAGCAAGGAGATCAGTTTCGAAGATAAACAAGCCTAGCGAAAGGCCGCCACTCTGGGGAGGGTCGCGGGTAGGTGGGGCGGAGCGGGGAAACAATGGAAAGAAGTGCGCCTTGGGGCAGTCACTATCAGCTGACGCTTAAAAAGAACTGGGTTAAAGCGTTTGAGTTTGGATAATTGAGAAGAAACGATCGATAGAAAATGATGTAGTAGAAAAGATGTCAGAGCCTTCGATAGAAAAGGCCAAAAAGAGATTCTAGTGAAGGCTTTCTGAGAACCGAGTTAAATCGTTCCTGTCCCCACCTTTTGTAAGAGATGTATGGCGGAAAGAACGAGAACGCGTAACAGTCCTTCCGGTTTTCGGATTGCTTACACAAAACAACGCATTTTTTGTTTTTCTGTTCCTATCATGAATGGTGGGTGTCAAGCCACTGATTTCTGGATGGGATGGAATTGCGATTTTTTGTAGGCGATTCATTCAATCAATACTCTATTGATAGGATGAAATTTTTTTTGCTCGCTCGTGTGCACGGAATTGTTTTCTTCAACTTAGTAGTACGACTCCTGTAAACAGCATAGCGACTTTCGCTTTATATTCTCTTCAGTCTTGCAACAAATTCAAAAGTTTCGAACTATAATATTTCGAAAGTGCTTAATTTTTTGCATAAAGGACGTAACACCACTTGTCAACTTAGGGGAGACTGATGATGGGTGTTCTCACTGCAATACCTATTGCTGCAGTTTACATGTGATTAGTTACTGTAAGCAATGCACCAATCACAGGAATCGCATGCCTTCATTCTACCAAGCACTTTCGATGTCAATGCTCTTTTAACGTTCAAATGTTTATATCTGTTGGATAATGGGCGTTTGTTGAAAATTAGCGCATTACATGAATTGTGGATCGCTGTAGAACTCGAAACAATCCATTCAAGAAATTGTCTGTCAGAATGAACGCAATTCTTCAGTTCCCTTGATCGATTCGAGAAAGTCTTTCTGGCCTGCCACTGCGTTTTCCGAAACGAAAGGTACCGAGAGGTCCTGAAAAGTGAAACGTTTTGATTCCTAATACCAAACTTCTGAATAAGCCTTGTTTCATGCATAGAGTCACATCAGGTGATCATACCTTCAGTTAACATGGATCGTGTTGGCCCAAGTGCACCTAAAAGGGTTGGAATGAATAAGAATGAACTTGTTTTGGTCTTATAATACTGCGTGAAACGGCGGCGGAAAGATATTTTCGAAAGTTCGTTAAAATTATCGGTGGTATTCTGTTTTTATGTATTCGTGAACATAAAAGTCATTCATTGTCAACCTAGCACTAAATAGCGTGGATCTTGTTTAGGGCTACTAAATTGATACTGTATAGCTCTTATGTGGAATTTTTCATAAGTTCGGTGGGAGGAATCTGTGGCGCCACCCTCGTGCGAAAAGGCACCATTAAATGTTATCATGAACTTCCAGAAGAAAGTCTGTAACATTTATCATATGAGTGGGTCAGTGGATCGCTAAGCCTAAATAACTCATCTAGAGCATCACTAGATTCACTACCGACTATGGGGGGGGGGTGCACACATTTGGGAGAGATCAACAAAGCGTACTCGTTGAGAATTTGATTTAAGGTGCGCCATGCGTCCAAGCTTTCCAGAATTTTGCATCAAGATTCGACCACGAATTCAGAACATGCAAAGGTTTTTGTGGTCATTTTGACGTCTTTCATTCGCCGTCCACAATCAAGTCCAGCAAAAATTATCAACCGTGAATGTTTTGATCTTGATGGACGTGTTTTCGATACGTTCTAAAGGAATGCAAAGTGGCGCGTCTAGACAATGAGTGAGAATCTTCAACTAAAACTACATTGTGTTACGCCTAGTCACGAGCGGCTTTTGTCAAAACTGTCATTCGCAGCAGGAAATTGCAAGCCCTCTGGCGTTGATCAATGCTTTTTGGATACGCCACGCACTGTGCGCCCATTTTTTTCGCATTCTAGATGAGACGCAACTTGCAAGGGCCCTGCTAATGTAGCAAGTGCTCTATCCTCCCAGAGTGTTATGGTACTAACTAATCGACTCTAAAGATGCAAGCTTGGTAGGCCTAGGCGGAACGCGATCCGTAATTTGGTTCTGGGACGGTGTTCATAAGGAATTGTGCATGGATTGTGAGTGAGTATCCCTGGTAACATATGGAACCTTAAGATGCAGTAAAAGTTGTAGGCAAAGTTGTCGTTATTTGCCAAACCCTTATTTCTATGGTATAAGCGGATAAGTTCAACGTCAACCATGTTGAAATGCAGCTCCAAGCCTTGCCTGCGAGTACGCGACCCGAAAACCCGTCGTATAGCCGTCATCACTGAATTCTAGCAATTTGCTGAGTTCCTAGACTTTGCTGATGCGATAGCGATTTCGAAGCAACGACCCCCCCCCGCTGACGGCATTGCTACGCGAGGGAAATCCGTTATGGGAGTAAACATGATACTCCATCACTCAGGGTAACCTTTGCCCGAAAAATAACGACCTCATGATATATTGAATGTTAACCCCTCTACATGAGAGGACAGCCTCTACATTAGTATTCTTCTCAAAATTTGTAGAGCAATAGTTGAAAATCCGCTCATGGGTGGTGCAAAATATTAGGGAATTCGTCTTGGCAATTTCAATCCGCTTCTTCTATGTATAAGGACCATTCCTGAATTCCTCTCACCAAATTAAGTAGCCCGGAAACTCACCAAATTGACGCAGTCCGCAATGAACGGCCCGGCGGCCGGCGGGGGGCGGCGCCGGGGCGGGGGCGGCCCGCGCGGGGGCGGGGGCTTGATCAAATCGCTGGCAATATGCCATTGTGCGTTTGCGAAAAGATTGTTACCGATGAATCGTTTGTCAAGTCGCAACATGCCGGGTGACCGCAATGGAACGTTGAAATCAACATCTGAATTTTATGCAACATTAGGCAGAAAAGTACACGTCGTTTGTGTATCTGTTCGATTTCGTAAACCATTTGAAGATTGGCACAGCTTTCATGGTCTTTCAAGAACGCCTTCACTCTTCCACAGAAGTGTGGTAGAATTTTTTTCACAACTTCTTTAGCCTTGGCGGCATGCCGTTGGGTGTGCGTTTGTCGATTTCTTCACAAATTCGCACCAATAGTTACTAATTCACCAATAGTTTTTATAACTTCAATTTTGAAATACTTTTCGCTGTTGCACAGTATTATTTTAGAGCATAGAATTAAAGAACAATTAAAGGCAAAAGTCAGGCTCGTGTTTGGGCATTATGGCGCCTGAAATTGAGTGTAGAGATGGGAGGTGGAACGACAGTGAAGAAAAAACGCAAAGAAACCGTCGACAAGACCGAAATCGAAAACCCTTCCCTTCTAGCAGTGAAGGAGGCTTGCTCGGGGAGAGCCACGTCCAAACGAGTTTTCCGGATATGCCAGCCGTTCCATCGGTTGATACGGCAATCAACCTAGCTGATCTCACACGTTAGGCCAGCCACGCACCACATCCCGCGGTGGCGAAAACGTAAACTATGCAAAACATCAGTGGTACAATTCCATTTTAGCAATATGCATAGAAGTTAAGAAGGGCATAGCGACGGAACTCCAATCGAAAGAACGTTAACGGAAATAAGAAAGCAAAATTACTCCCTCCACCTACAGTGGACGTCAAAAACACTTTTGACGTGTCTTGTCAAATTATTTCTTATTCTTTTTTATTTACATGGCCATGAGATTGAGAAAAAGGCGAGGAATGAACCGAGCTGACATCCGTAACGCTTAATAAACCTCCGCATATTGAAGCATATTTCACCATACGGTGAACCATGACATTCACAGTAATGATGTATGATCCATGGAGTAAAGCAAACGTTTGGGAAAGCCGGGCAGGCAATAGAAAAAGGGAAGAGAGAGGTGAGAAGCGCGTCCCTTTGTCGTCAATGCGTCGAGGTTCTATTGTCTTCTCTTTCAGAACGTCAATGTAGGTGTGGGACGAGATTATTCTTACCAGACAGAGGAGATGATCGGTCGCTTTTCAGGGTGTACCACGCATTCTATTATATTTCCATTCAGAATCATAGGGGCACTTGAATGCCATTTTGCCCATGCAACGACTTTCGCGAAGCGATGAAGTCGATAATTTTTAGTCGACTGAGGCAGGTCTGGAATCAGTTCTCTTCACTGAAGGGATGGAAGGTTTGGTTGGCCGGGATTCGTTACGGTATTTTGCCCCCACTGAACCGCGGTCGTAATATGCCACTCACCTTCCAGTACCCTCCCCGCACCATAAGGAGTTGTGCTGAGCCAAAATGAGAACAAATGAAGATGGATCCCTTCTAAGCGGAGTTTTTCACCATTTTTTCTACCATTCCTTTGAGGCACGCCACCCGATGTTGCTCATGCATGTTTATTAAAAATTAGCCACATGAGGAGAATAAGGATTCCGCCTGTCTGCGCAGGTTGGGGTCTCCAATGTTGTCAGCAAACTCTTATCTCTTGCGCTATCCATGCGTAAATTCCTTTTTTCCTAGATTTATATAAATTTAGAGAAAATAAATTCATACTCACCATAAGCCTCGACCAGGAATATCAGACCGATCACTAGAAGATACTGAGATGAATTCATGTTTCTTCAAACGTCGACGAGAGCGACAAATTGACAGCACAACTCCTGTAAAGCCGGTTAGAAGCCTATCTCAAAAAGGGGTTTTGCGCAAGGACAAAGAGGGAAGTGATGTTATGACGAGGAGAATTTCGAGCTTCGAAAATTTTTCATTTCGGTGAATCAATACGTACGGGAGTTGTCCTTTTCGGTTTTTCACCTTTTAAATTGCGAAAGTTGTGTATCCAAAATGGCTTTGGCAATCAAATAAATTGAACTTTTCGCTTCACTTTCTTTTCTCCTCACTCTCGGTGGAACGTGAAAGACCATATATTTAGAACGAATAATATGTTCTTAGAAAAACTGGATGTGAGGCGAAAAAGATCCTACAGTGCTGAACATTCCGCACTGAGATCGCAGGTCCCTCGACCTCTATCAGAAATATGAAGTGATAGTTGGTTAATCGGCTTATACGCGAGCGGAGGCCAGATGCACAAGCCATTATCTCTATGGTGTGTTTCAGAAAAGTCTATAAACTAGCCCATTCCGTAGCATGAAGAGGTTGGGTACCCTGGGCAACTTTGTAGCGCTATTCGCCATTTCTTTATTTCCGCCTGAGAAGAATGAAGGGATCCCACCTCATGCTCCGTTTCTTGGAGCGTAGGGGGATGAGGGAAATGTCGAAGGGTATCAACATTGTGTCTCCTTTTGAAGTGATATTTCGCTCACACCAGTGCCAAAAAGGCTGCAAGGAGACAATTCCAGACCGTTGTAATGTTCCTAGGATGGATATAAATATGTGTGCAATTAATCTCGCTGTTATTTCAGAGAAATCAATTAATTGGTGAGTAGATCTATCGACTGTTTGTCGATGATCTGTCTGCAGAATACCCTTCTCATATTAGAGTATGTGATCCCGGAGCTGGGGCAAACCAAGCACCAAGGAAACTGAGGAGCTCATAGGGCTTGCTTGATCAACGTTTCGTAGTGTTGTAATTGTGACAATCCTCCAACTGTGCTACTGCAACTGTTGCAAAAACACTCACTGTCCAAACTGTGGGCCATTCTGCAAGGTGCAGCAATTGCGTTTTGAGGTTACACGAGCCGCAGGGGAACTGACCGCTAACGAACCAGTGTTGAGGTAGCATTCTAGCGCGATATGGCAGTGTTAGTAACCCTTCCTCTACTGCACAGTATATCCACCTTGTGCATACAAATCCGTTCCATAAGGTGCTGACTGCGCAGTCGGCGGGTTTAATGCAGCGTGTGCAACAAAAGGGAGCGGCGACGACTAGCGGGAGCAACGCTGCTGCATATTTGATATTACGATAATTTGGAGTCTTTTCAAATCCTGGGTGAATGAAGTTGTTTAATAAATCAGTCATTCAGTGAAGTGGGAGATACAATCTAGTAAGGATAACTAGAAACTTCATAGGAAAAGCGAAATCCGAAAAGTAATCGAATTTTTGGAAGCAGTCAGAGGTGAGAAGATTGTTTACGATTTGGCGTGTTATCAAGGGCAAACATCGGCTTTCACGAAAACAAACAGATCCTCATGGCTGAATAAAGCTGATGTCGAGCATGAGCCAAAATACTGGAACATGAACCACTCACGGATGGTGAACAAGGTGGCTTAACTCGAATGCGGCACCTTTCTGAACGTATGACGCCTTTCACGGAACAACAGCTTACAAATATCCGGTGTTTGTGTAAGGAGAAAGTGAAATTCAGACCTTTGACTTCCTTGCGCTCTATGTACCTCTGTTTTGAATAAGGGCTGTTGACTAGGAGTTTTCCATGGGCACTTCATTTTCACCAGGTATCAGCCGACGTCGATTTTTGGAATAATCGACTATTTTCAGCTGCCAAAAGGCAACGCCATGTTTCCACTTGTTAATGGGCCATAAAACGAAGGCAATTTCCACGCCATAAGGACTCGATTGTTGGACTTTACATGTGTGCGGTAAAGATGCAATGACACGTCAGAGTGGCTTCCGAAGGGACTATTCAATAGTTGTAAATCCTTCCAGTGTTTCTTATGGAAATTGGATCGAGGCCAAAGTAGGAGGATAGTGCCGAGCTGCTTGCGGGTTCGCGAAGAGAGCTGTGGTAACCTGGAGGGTCCGTGGTACCCTAGAGGGCAGAAGTCACGTGCTATATATAAATTCTTTGAAATGGAATCCACTGCTAACCGGGTCTCATTTCACACGAAACCCTGATACCTGATACCTGCCTTTACTGCCTTTCACAAGTCGTAATAAGACAAATCATAGATCACGGCGTCTAGCTACATATGTATTGTGGGATTACAAATGTTCCGATACAGTGCGTCAGCTTACAAGGAAACTCGGGCATCAATTTCCCAAATCGCAAATAGACAGGTTGATACACTCAGCGTTGATCAATCCCTCGGTGAATGCGCCACGCATTCTTCATCCTTCAGATGCTGGTGGCATTGAAGCGCGATTTAGCGTACAACAACTGGCAATGGCCAAATGAACAAGTCAGTGTTTTTGACGTACCAAACGAACCGGCTGCTAACTACTGGCCTCGAAATAAAAAAAACGCTTGTCCCGGGTGAAGGTCGATCAGGGATTTCACCACGACTGTGTGCTTGATAAGTGATGGCACTTGCCATCACCTGCGCCATAACAAAGAGATGACGAAAGACTACAACTTTTAAAAGAATCTCTGGAAGATGAAGAGAATCTTGAGAGCAGATAGAACTTATATATGGAAATATTGCTAGTAAATGCATTGGAGGCCTCAAAACCCTGCAAATCGTAGTGGTATGTTTGATATTATTATTGTTTTTTTTTGTAGAGCGGCAAGTGGTGTAGTGGCAAGTGGCACGCTCACCACGCGAGCGGTCCAGAGATCAAATCCTGGGTTGTGTCGTGAGTCGCCCGGGCCAACCAAGCCTTCCATCCCTCCGGGGTCGGTTAATTGGTACCAGACTTGTCTGGGAGGATAAAAG